CCAGGGAAGCCCAGCATTTTTTTTTTTAAATAGAAAAAGTTGTATCGAAGTATATGGCTTATAGCAGAAGTTAAGTATTGCTCTGTGAAATGTTTTAGCAAAAAATACACATGTGTGTACAGGGTCATGTATCATGATACAAAACTTCTTACTACAGGCTGTCGTTTTAAACGTTTGAAATTTTTCATTGTAAACTATCTGTAATTTGTGCACACACCCATCTCAAGATGTAGATGTTCTAATACTTTACTGGACTAGATCATATAAACAACTCTTACTCGAAGCAGATGATCACATTTTTTATACTTGATAACATTTTTTATACTAATTGTGAAAAAGTATTTCTGCTATTATTTAGACATTCAGAAAAACATGATACAGGATTAAGAGCATGGCCTCTGGAGCCAAATTACCTAGGCTTAAATCATGGTTTTGCCACTTACTAACTGCATAGCTTGAAGCAAGTATTTAACCCCTCTATGCCTCAATTTTCTCATCTATAAAATGGACAAATATTAACAAACACCTACTTAATAGGGTTATTTTGAGTTAGATGAATTACTATCTATAAAGTGCCTAATAGTCCTTGGCACACAACAGGAACACAAATATTACTTTCAGTACTCCCTGAAGTTGTAAGTATACCACTAATAATATGGTATCTGTTATAACCACTAAATAAGACAGTTTAGTACCTTCATATGACTGTCTACTTTACAAAAAGTGAATTGGCAGAAGAGGGAATGAGTGAAACTGGAGCACAGGAAATTAGTAACTAAAGGGAATACTATGAAGTGTGACAGGAAACTGCGTGGAGCATGGTGAATGCTGTCTGCCTGGAGCGGGACTGACTTTGACTGACTTGTCACATGTATCACATTCAGACTTAAGATACACATTTTTTTAAATTACTTTAACAAATGGCTTTAAAATGAGTGTAAGTTTAATTGTCAGCATGTTTTCTTGAGATTTGATAAAATACAGTTATCACTATTATCACTTTTAGACAAAATGCAGATATAGCAGATCTATCATTTTACAGCCTCAAAATAAAGTGGTCAGAGAGGTGAGACTTGTTCTGAAGGTTGACACCATCAAGGTGGTATCAATGGGAGTGAATGGTGAGAGAGTGTGTATAAAGGTTCTTAGAAGGTTCTGGGAAGACTGTCTCCATACCTAGATAATTTTACTGGCAAAATCTATCTGATGTAACTATCTTGGATCCCTAGAGTCTATTCAAAGGCTTGCAACTCCCAGGGGAAGACTTAACATTTGGTTAATTTCACTCCATTTGGGCACTTAACTCCGCAGTGGCTACCCATTCCTCACTCCTCATTCCTGCCTCAGGAAGGTGTGCACAAATACCTGTTTTGTGCTCAGGGATTAATTTATACAGCTGAATGAGGATATGGAGAGGTCAATGCCACTGAAAGAGGAGTTTGTTATTCACAGTTCCCCAGGAAATGAGAGGCACAGCACATGGTGAAGGACCACATGAAACCTGTCACATGCAGGAACAAGGAAGCAGAGAGAGAACTGGGACAGTGTCTTTATTGTTAAGACAGTGGGCAAGAAGGGAAAACACACATTCTATAATGTGTGGTTTGGGAGGTCTGTGATATGACTTTCACGTGCCCATGAGAGCTAACGTGCAGAGAAGATGTAAGGAATTACAGGGCCATTACTTTGGCCCTGTAATTAATGGATGCCAAGTAGACAAACATAATAAAGTCTGAGAACACACAATTTCAACAGCTCCAGGAGCAGCCTGTGGGAGCAAGGTGGGCAATAAGGACCCGCCCTTCAAATAATGGGGATCTGTATTCTGATCGTTGACAGCTACTTCTAATCATGGAGGCAAAGACAGAGTCAGGCAGCCATCGCTGCAAGGCTCATATTGTTGTTAGCACTTCCCCCCTCCAGCAGAAGCAACTTTGAGGGGATTTAAAGTGCCAGCACCTCCCCCGCTTCCATTTTTCTCTTTTCGCCCTTTTGGGGGCCACACATTTAAGGACTAGACCATTATAAACAGCAACTGAATATATGGAGGAATTTAGAAGGTCACTATGCATGCCCAGGAAAAGGTGTAGGCTTAGAAAGACCTTAAGTTTCCTCAGGCTGATCCGTGGCACAAAAACAGCCTACAATAATAGCAACAACAACAGAATGACAAAAAAAGCAAATCCTGGGGAAGGGGGAGAATCTGAGATTTCCAGCGTTTTCCACAAAAAAATCACAAGGCATACAAAGAAACAGGAATGTATGGCCCACTCAAAGGAAAAAAGTAAACCAACAGAAACCATCCCTGAAAAAGATCAGATGGCAAAACAACTGTCTTAAAGATGCTAAAAGAACTAAAAGAGGGGCTTCCCTGGTGGCGCAGTGGTTGAGAATCTGCCTGCTAATGCGGGGACAGGGGTTCGAGCCCTGGTCTGGGAGGATCCCACATGCCACGGAGCAACTAGGCCTAGGCCCGTGAGCCACAGCTACCGAGCGTGCGCGTCTGGAGCCTGTGCTCCGCAACGGGGGGCCGCGACTGTGAGAGGCCCGCGCACCGAGATGAAGAAAGGCCCCCGCTCGCCGCCAACTGGAGAAAGCCCTCGCACAGAAACGAAGACCCAACACAGCCAAAAATAAATAAATAAATTTAAATTTAAAAAAAAAAAAAAAAGAACTAAAAGATGTGGAGAACAGTAAGAAAACAATGTTTGAACAAAATGGAGATATCAGCAGAGATGGGGTACACCTTCAGGTGGCCCAACATACGCACTGTGGGAGTCCCAGAAGAAGAAAAGAAGAAGGGAGAATTATTAGTGTGTGCAATGCTGAGCTGAGGAAGTCTGAGAACACAGCAAACTTATCTGCAAAGTACTAAGAGGCTTCATTTTAGTCCTGTATTTCAAGAGTCAGAATCAGGCAAATATTAAAATCCAACGTCTCCTGAGAAATTTGAAGTGTACAACCGATTCCTGATCCAAGCTGCCCCACAATACTGTCTAGAAGAATACTGTCTAGAAGAGTACTGTCTAGAAGAAGGACAAAGAAAAACATGTGTGTCCACATACAGTCATATATACACATATACGTGTGTATCCTGCATACAGACAGGGATATCTGAATTTTTATTTATTAGTACTAAACACTTTCCACAGCTGCATTTGTGGATGGAGAAAGGTTTTCATTTGCAACTTGGAATCTGTTAGCTAATTATTTAGAAATAACACATGAAAACCATAAAAAAAAAGTTGACTTCGTTCAAATGAAAGAATTCCAAAGAGCAATTTAAGAAAACTGCCTACTTTTGTGGCTGTAAAAAGCAATTAAATTTCAATCTGTATTTCAATATGAATTGGGCCCTAAAAGTTTATTTTTAAAGCTGATAATCATTTACCAAGGCACTACCTTGCACTAGCACTATTCTTGGTGATGGGACTCCAAGTCCCTGTCCTCTTGGCGCTTACGTTCTAGTGAGGCAGGGAGAAAACAAACAATAGGAATAAAATATATTTTGGATTACGGTAAGAGACGCTCAATGGAGAGACATGAACTGCAAATGTTAGCAATCATACACTGTTTCACATAATTAGAGTGAGTTCATGAGAGCATCACAAGTGGGAAAAATTAAAATCTGTTTATATAATAAACATTACTAAACTCTAAATTAACTGAACTTTAGTTGTAATACAGTAAATTTTTTTAAGCTTAAGTCACTACTTCATCATATCTTTAGCATCTTTAAAAATTTTTCTAAGTGGGCCTGTGAAACTGCTGTGAGATTTTCAATTCCAAGAGAGTTGGGAAGGGCATTCCCTGGCAGTCCGCTGGTTATGAGGACTCCATGCTTTCACTGCCCGGGGGCCGGTTCAAGATCTGGTTGGGGAACTAAGATCCTGAAAGCAGCCTGGCGCAGCCAAAAAAGAAAAAAAGGAGCCAAGAAGAGTTGGTAAGTGCTGTGCTACACTGCTGTTAAACTGATGCTAAGCCTCGTGTGGCTGCTACTGCAGCTCAGTGGTTCTCTGCGGAGGGTGCGCTGGCATCTAATGGGTAGGGGCCAGGGATGCTGGTAAATACCGTACGGTTTAGAGAATCACCCTCCACAGCAAAGAACTCCCCGGCCCCAAAGTCACCAGCGCTAGGGCTGAGACCCTGCTCTCGGCAGAAAGACGCACAGGAGGCAGCTGAGTGTGGCAACGTGCCGAGCCCTCTATCCGAGGGGCACCGCTTAGTGCCCCGAGAGCAGAACGAGCAGCGCGTGCGGGTGGAGGGCGGAGACAAGCAGGAGGTGGCTCGTACCTGGGCCTTGAGGGACAGGCAAGGATGCGGAAGGGGGCGTGCAGGCGGACAGCACGCGCGAAGGCTGCACGTCAAGGAGCTGCGTTAGCAGGGAGGAGCGGGCTACCCTGCGTTGCCGCGAACAACTCCACAAAACCAAAGCGACCCTCCCACAAGAGGCAACCTTAGGCCATGCACGTTTCAAACGCACACAAGCCTACTTCCACGTGTCAGGTTTACAGCCGGCCGCTCCTCCCTGTCCACACCATGCACACAGCGTCTCCTGGCCAAGGCCACCCCGGGGCCGCGCAGGAGGGGGGCGGGGCGCGGGGGCCTCCCGAGTGACCCGGCGGAACAGCCCGGGCGGTCCGCGTGGTCTCCCGCTCCGTACGGCGCCTGCTCTCCCGCCTTCGAAAACTCTACCCTGTTATTTTACAACTAAGACACGGGGGTGAAATCCACCTGCCTGAAGCGCGGCTCGACGCACACGAGCCCCCGGCCCGCCCCGCCCCCTCTGCCCGGCCGAGACGCCTCAGCCCCTGCGGCCGCCCTGAGGGGACGGAAGGCGGCAGCCCCTCCGCCCCGCCCCCGCCAGCCGGGGTTGACCCTCCTCAGCTCCCACCTACCCCGGCCCCGCTGACTACAGCCGCAGCCCCCAGGCTGCGCCGGGAAACCCGAAGGAGCAGAAACCCGAACACAGGAGCACGGAGGCCGCTCTGGTTACTCACCAACGCGCCCCACTCGCCTCCGCCCGTGCGCCGCCGCCTCCCGTCGCCGGCCCGGACAGCCGACTGCCTCCGCGCGTGCGCACACTGTCCCGCCAGGCCGGAAGCGTGGGCGGGGCCCCGCCCGCGCCCGCGCAGTAACCAGCAGAACAGGGACGTGGGCGGGGTGGCTGGCTACGCGCACGCGTACGCCGCCCACTCGGGCGCTTCCGGCAGGCGGTTGGGTCCCGCGTCAGTCGCTGGGCCGCCTCGTGCTGGTGGGAGGCGCCGCACTCAGCAGGTGCTTCAGATGGAGGCAATAAAAGGTACTTGAGGTTTTAACTAGATTCCCTTCAGGTCAAACGCATACGAAGGGACCTGCTCTTTTGCACTCGATACGCTTGTACGTTTCACAGACATTAAGGCTCTGTCTGCTCCGTCTCCTCCGTCTAATCGAGAAATTTGGACATTAACCTGAAGCTTTATAGTAAAGATAGCATTAGAAAAAACCTTTAAAACCCTGCGCTCGACTTCCTCCGCGGTGTGCTCTCCCTTCCCAAACCTGACGTGGTTAAGCTGAGACCAGCACCTGCACCTGTCACGCTGGGGTTCGCTGTGAAGAGGGCGAGAGGCGCCTGAACCGAAGACGCACGCGCTGTCTCCGCGCTGAAATAAGACCAGCTACTACTCCGGCAAATAGTCTCATTATGAAGCCACTACAATTTCTATGGAAATGACCCAAACGTAGGATGGTGTTGGTCAGCCCACCGGCTCAGTCTTTCAGAGCCTCCAGGGAGGAGTGCGCTCGCAGGCCGGCTCTAAGGCACCCAACACAGCACCTGCACACGGAAAGGAAGGCTCCCTTCCACCCTGGCAGTTACCAATTATAAGTGATGAATTCACTTTCCATTCTCCAGGGCTATCTATCTGTATTATGTTCCTACCTTCTTTTCCTTCATTTTCCTTACCAATCCTATGATCTTGTTAAGTTAAATTCTGCTAAATAGCTTTACATCCTTTCGGTGTAAGGTAAGGATATAAATGAAAAAACAGGTTTACAGCTTTGGCAGTACCATAATTTCCATTTTAAAAACTGTTTCCGGGCTCACAGCAATCCATACTTTTTTTTTTCTTTGATTGCTTTGATGACAACTCCACTAAGCCAGGTATTTCAAAACCAGCTGTAACTTATTAGCAAAGGAGCAGGAAAGCAAACATACACAAGCTAAAAGAAAGCAACATGAACCGAGAAACAACCACCAACTTTTATGGCAGTGTACTTTTTACAGAGGTAGTGTTCCATACATAGGAAACTGCCTTGGCTAAACAGGAAGGCTTACGTTAAAGCAAATTAGTTCTGGTTTGAAACAGATCTATTTTAAGCTTTCAAAGTTTCAGTTGCTTTCATATCATGTGACACGATAGTGTTATCTGCATGTAATGTGTATTACTATGTTGTTTTTATAATTAAAGTGACCATAATTGTCAGGAAGTTCAAATAGTTACACCTCCACCAATAGTGCTGACTGCTCATACAGCATGTCACAGTGATACACGAAGATCAGAATTTTCCAGATGAAACTTTTGCAATGTAATGTAACGGTTTTTGCAAATCATAAAAAATTTAAAATATTAAGAGGCAATTTTATCATCATTGAAATAAAGGGGAAATTACAGGAATTCCGTGGCGGTCCAGTGGTTAGGACTCCACGCTTTCACTGCTGAGGGTCAGGGTTCAATCCCTGGTTGGGGAACTGAGATCCCACAAGCCGCGAGCTAAGTTAAGTAAGTAAATAAATGGGAAATTATTTGTCCAGTAAACTGGACTTGCCAGGCAAGTTCAAATCAACCTTAATTCAGGAATTACTCCTTTTGTGTATTCAGAAGTGATTTTTGTTCGTCATGCTACTCTTCAGAAACGGGGCATAAAAGAAATGGAGATTACTCTGGAAAGACCTCTTTAGAGATGGAGCGAGACTTGGTTTTCCTCTCTAAAAATATCTAGTATAACCTATACCTACAAGAACACAGATTCAGGTTTTTCTTCCTTCTTTTAGTGGTTTGTTACCAAATTACTCAAATTAACCCAAGTATGCTGCAAAGGATAGTCCCTAGAAGTCTAGTCCCATAAGGTGCTTTGTGAAGAGGCCACCACGTAAGGAAAGTCGGATTAAGATCTTCCCCTACAGCCTCCCAACGTGCACTTGTGCAGTAAAGCATTTAACTTCACACAGTAAAGAAACTAGTTTTATTTCTCCAATTACTTGGCAACAGCTAAGTTATAAAGAATTAGTGGCGCATGAAACTTATTTGGAGAATCACTATTAGGCCTTTTTGTTGTGCGAATAATACGAGCATATTCAACAGAAACTGAAACCACTGACTTAAATAGATCAATTCTCTCATTTAGAAAAGAAGATGCAGTAAATAATACAGTTAACTCTATCATAATACCACCGGAGTGAATGACTATCAGGTGTCAGACTTTGTGTTAGGACACATTTATCTACTGGAGCAAAATGTGTTCTTATCAATGATCTTTAAACAGAATGGAATTTATTGAGCATCTACTATTATATTTTATCCATCACTGTGCTTTCAATTTGTTCTTTGGGAATTAACAACACTTCTGGTCCTATGATAAGATGACAGACTGTGGAAATCCATGTAAACCCTAAGTAGTGTAGCTGTGAACTGAATCTAGGTCTCCCGGCCTCTACCCTGTACTCTGCCAGTTCAAAGAGCTTTACCAAATCAGTCCTCAGAAAGGACCATCCAGGGCAGTGCAGTTATGAGCTGCAGAATTGCAGCCTAAGATTTGGAGCTTACTAAAAGGAATACTTGAAAACTGACCTGGCAAAGTAATCAGTAGTGAACACTATCGAAACTTAAAAACAAAACTGCTAACTACTATGGGAATAAAAATACTTAGCACATCCCTGTTTAAACTCTCTCTGCAGGACTTCCCTGGAGGTCCAGTGGTTAAGATTCTGCGCTTCCAATGCAGGGGGGTGCGGGTTCGATCCCTGGTCGGGGAACTAAGATCCCACATGCTGCGTGGCACAGCCCAAATTTTTTTTTAATAAAATATAAATAAATAAAAATAAACTCTCTTTGCTTCCGTTTTTTTTCATTTATCAGTTCTGGGAAGCATCAATGACTTAACCACAGTTCACTCTCTTGCTGGATCAAGTAATTTACACTGCAAGAGCTCAGCAGGATGTTGACTTACGTGCTAGAACCGACAGAGTATGCTACCATTGGGACTGTATGGAGACTCCAAGCAAAAGATTTTCTCCTTAGTATCACCGAATATGCCCTTTGCTTCCATTTAGTTTTAAAAGATCTGCCATTCGAGATTACAAAGAGTGCACGATCCTATGTTTAAGAAACAAACAAAAATGTTTCACAATCTAATTAATGCACCAAAGTCATCATTCATAAACCACTCAATATAAACAGACTGTATTTTTAGAGAGCACCAATATTTTAAAGATGTCTTTTAAGAAACAATACCAGATTTTTATATCTGGGGCCTCTAAAATCATCCACAGCTCCCTCCAATGAAAGGTGATCAGCCTGGGCCTAAGGCTTCCCCCTTGAAAATGAATGAGCTCTACTTAGTTCCTAAACAGCCTAATGGTTCTTTATCCATCCTTGGAGTGGAATCAGATCTCAATATAACCTAAGAGATACCATTACAAATCAATGAACATTCCAAGCAATATAAAGTTTAAAATAAATATATTTTCAAAACGCATTTTCTTCCTTAAAAAAAATAACTTTTCACTGCATATGTTTACAAGATTTAGAATTAGGTAAAAAGGAAAGTCTGTCTGACACACAGAAGAATGGTACTTTTCCACTTTCCCTGAAAGGCCAAAAAGAATGACCCAAACTACATTCACTACAAATATGCCCTGAATCCAATGATTTAACTAGTAACTCTGAAATTGTTTCTAAGATTGTGAGCTGAGATAAAAATAAATATGCTCAATATTACAGAGTATAAACGAAACTTCGATTTTCTTTCTGAATTCTGGAGATTCTATTAGGGTTGGGTGTTCTCCCAGAAGGTAATGCAAATCCCTATTTTACCTGTGCAGATGTGTCCTCCTGTTTTTTATTTAAAATTATTCTGATTGTGTAATGTCCCCAGTGCCAGTCACCCTAGGCTGGTAAATGAACTGTAGCGCCATTCAATAAGTTTCATGCAACAGTCAGGCTAGACACCCATGAACAAATCACACATGGTCAAAACAAAAATGTCATAAAAATATTTAGTGAAAAGACATATTTTAACTCCCATTTATGGATTAAAAAATACAAATAAAATTTTATATTCAGCTTGTAACTGGCTCAGTACATGGCCTTATTTCCTAAAATCGTATTGTAGCATCTTTTGAAAAATTAAATGCAACTTTATACCTTTATTAATAATGTTAATAGAGGTAAATATTTAAACAGTATACTCATCCCTGGGTCTCTTAAAAAAACTGAAAAGTCAGTATAAGTTTAAAATTTTAATATTTATAAATTTAAAAAATTTTACACGTGCTGAATGGTAGCAGTGCTAACATTTTGTGACCATTAAACCAGAAACTCACTGCATGGAGCCTTTTCCTTTGTACAGAGAACCAAATCACAATACCAACCTTTGCAATCTGTCAATAATTGTATGTGGTAAAAGACACCACACCAGGTAGCCCGGGCTCAGGACACACTTGAGGTCACATCCCCGTTAGGTACATAGTGCAGATGCAGTGCTGAATGTCAGGCTAGGAAAATTAGCTGTTAGTACATTCTGACAGCTCCTAAGAGCTGAGAGGCCTAAGAAAACAGACTTAGAAGAAAAGCCAAAAACAAAATCTCTCCACTGCTGGGAAGTCTGGGACCAGGCGAAGAGCAAACCACAGAGGACGAGGGGGACAAAGATAGTTTGCAGTGTGAGCCTCGGGGGGCTAACACACGGGCCTCCCCGCCACCACGTTTCCGCCTTTACAAAGGCTTACGTGTACAGAGCTAGGGGCCAGAAACACATCCCCTCATCCATCCTCTTTAGAACAGAATGGATGCCCATTATTAAGCTTTTATCTTTACCTGAACCAAATACAGTCTTTGGCTAAATATGTCATGGGTTCCCATTATAATCAATCAGGAATACTTCACATTTCTTACATCTAAATTAAATCGTTTAAAGTTCAACGTGAACCATGGCACTCACTGCAAATTAATTTGAGCTCAGCAATATACCTAAAGCTGGACATTTTAAAATTTTAGAAAATCAATTTTTCAAGAATTCTTAGATGCAGTGTTTTCAGAATATAGTTACCAAGTCAGAGAATATCCACCTACATTTTAAAATAATTTAAAACATTATTACATCCTCAAATCAGCTATGTTGTTTTATAGAGAAATTTACAGAAAATTATAATGTTAAGAACTCATATCCAAATCAGTGCCTTATTCTCTGGTTTTGAAAAACCCCTAAGAAGTACTGAGGTTTCGAAACAGTTAATATTTTATTCAGGAGCTAACAATGATAATCATCTGTCAGAGACAGCGAACTTACTAAGGTCTAATGACAACACCTCTAATGACAGAGGTGGCAAACAGAAAGAAGTAAAATTGTAACAGACAAAAATAGTATTTTAAGGGTCCAACTGACACGGTAAGTTAAGATACTCAAACTTGAAATCCTTGAAACTGACAACTTGTTCCCTTCAATACTTGAGGGGTTCATACAAGTATTAACAGAAATGGGAAATATGGTGATAGGAAAAATACGAAGACTTGACATTTTTTGGTAGAAGAGAAAGTTCAAAGACAGTAAGGGAAGTTAAATAATGCTGACTGGGGTAAGCATCACAGAGGTGTTTGGTTTTGAAATGCAAACTGTGAAAAAACAGTACTAACCATCTCCTCTGAACAGTGATGTAATATAATTAGAAACACGGTTTACAACGAAGTAAGACTAAATTCTTAAAACCAGTTTGAAAAAAATTCCAAAGCTTTTTTACATAAAAGGTCACACTGTTGAAAACTCACTGCAGTGATGGTTACATGCCACTGTCTCCCAACAGATGAAGAGACAGCAAGGACACTGTCAGATACTGTCTCAGGTGGCCTACCCCCCAGGCAGCCACCCATCCAGGACCACAAATGCAAACCAATCCTTCAAACAGAGCTACAAGAATTAGTCACAGGTGCTGCCACACAACTACAGACTGTGAAGGCACGAAGTCTGCAGAGACTGTGCCCTCAGAAATGAAAGGGCCAAGGAAGACAAAAGCAAAGACTGAACCGAAAACGGAGGTGATGGGATACTGTGTACGAATAAGAGAAAGTTTATAAAACACAGCATTATAAAAAATCAAATACTCAACAGTGTCCCTTTAACATATATAAAAAGGGGCACAAATAATGCTTTTGTTTTTAAAACTCCTTTGACAACAGTTTTAGCAGTAAAAATCAATTTACTAGAATTAAGCCAGTATTCTTGACACCCACTGGGCCAAAAGCATTAAAACAAAACGCCCCAAAACTGAAAAGCCAACAAACATAGCTGAAGACAAAACTTGACAAAATAAAAGCCCCAAACTAAACAAATATCCAATCAGGAAAACAAACTGCGAACAACTGAAAAGAGCCTGGCTGTTGCAATTAAGTGGCCTTTCCCACTACCTAAAAACGGTGGTGGCGTTTCCTTCCAGTTTGCCACTAACCAACATTCTGATGATATCTTATGTATTATTTGGTCCAATCTGAAGAAACTCTTGTTTCAATTAAAAGCGGTCTAATGAAAATGCAGGACTGTAATAAAATCTGGGCAAACAGCAAATACATCTGTCTAGATAAAAGATATTAGATACAGATGCCCTTTTTGTTTACCATGGCATTCCTTTCCTACTCATCTTTATTTTCAATAACAACTTGATTACAGTTTTGTCACAGTCAGTGGACCAATCCAGTCGGCTGCGTGTCTTGGTGCCCTTAGGCAAAGGAACAGGGACATATTTAGCTCACAACTGCTGGGCGCTAGGGAGCTGGGAAACATGAAACACCAGAAACAATGCAAACAAAGTGACTACCGCTGCCTCTGACTTCAAGTTCTTTAAGGGAAAGAAGAAGAAATCTAAAAGTAAATGCACTGTCCAAAGTATGTTTAAGAACACAATAATACGTACGCTTCAGAAAGAGTGATACTAGTTTTGCCCTAGACGTCTTTTAAGACTTTTTGCTCCACCTCGGTTATGTTCTCAGAAAGCCGTGGCTCTAGGCTTTGCTTTCATCTGCGTCCAGCGGCGCCTGCCCAGGCTGGGTGGAATTCAGATGCTCCGTCTGCTTAACTGCAACTGCCAAGAGCACGGAGCTGCCCTCACCGCTGTGCAGCCGTGCATGGGGAGGCGCATCCACTCTGTGCAGTCCAGCTGTTACCACCACATTCGGAGGTCAGCCGAGCACACGATGTTAAGGACGGGACGAGAAAGCCCGCCCGTCGGAGGCGCAGTTTCAGAACGCGCCTGTTACTGTGCTGTGTGATTCTGACACTGAAGTGGGCAGTGTCACGTGCCCGGTGTTTGTAAGTTAGCTTTCGTTTCCATAATTTAAGCTGGCACACAGAGTTAAGGGGAGCATGGCAGCAGTACAAAAATCCTGATTAGAAAAATCAAACTACAGGATCTAAAGTGAGTTTTTTAATCTCTTAAATTTACACGGCTCCTGTGAAATGAGTATAACACCCACTCTAGAATAATTACTGCCCTAATGTCCCAATGTGTGAGAGTCTATATGAATCAGTAATTCACACCCTTTAAAATAGTTATTGCTTAAGCAAGCCATTCAGAGCAAATTATTAGCCATGGGCTACGTGGCTGGACAGAAACATACTCAGAAAGTTACACTACATCTGAATGAGCCTTTCACTTCACCCATAAAACCACATAAATACACACAATCAAGAGGGCCCCACGTTCACAGCAGCTAACACCCTAACCCGACTCTGAAGCAGCAAGACTGGATTTCTTACTAAACAAATCTGCTTTGTGTAATTCCTTCTTAAAATTAAGGCAATGAAATAGCTACAGTTCCTAAAGTTCTTCTTATGGAACAAAAATATACATGTATTTTCCTCCTCAAGTTCAGGCATCAGAGTAGGTTCACAAAACCTGCAATTACCAGGCTGCTGTGACACAAGACAGACAGGGAGAGCGTGGTAACAGGAAGCCAAACACCTGGCGGTGCCCTTCCCCCTGCCCAGTCCCCTCCCCCTCCTCAAAGGGAGGGCTGGGCAAGCACACCCCTCTAGACGCTTTCCGGCCTTCTGCACTGACTGAAAACTGCAGGGGTGGCAGAGGAGAGGCGCTTATCAAAACCAAGAATCCAAGGTCCAACAAACAAATGCTGACTCTGAGGGTCTGTCTACAGGTGGGCCCAGGAATCTGTCTTTTCAACCAGCTCCTCAGTGACACAGATGAGCAGATATCCAGCTGATATCTGATAGTGAAAACGCTAAACTTTGGGTAGCCACCTAATGCTTTGATAAAGAGGGAAAAGGCACTGAATACGTATTTCATGGTGCCCATATCTCTTTGCACATATGTGGAATTTCATTTTGAGAATCTGAAATCACCATTCAAAAGCTACAAGACCTACGACGGACTGAGGGTAATGCTTCCCTGCACCACACAGTGCCCTGCCAGGCTCCCAAAATCCAAACGGCCAACGAACTGACAAAAAGGACAAGACTCAAGTCAACTGTTAGCAATTCAGTGCACTTTGCAGGAAGGATCTGATTAAGCATAAAGCTCTGTTGTTTATTTTACACAAAGGAGACCACCAACATTTGCCATAAACTCTTCTAAACTCTTCAGGAAGGCCATCTTCTGCTTCCGGTCCAGCACAGGGGGCGTGCTGCTTGCAGTGAGCTTGTTGAAGGCGTCTGCTAATCTCTGGTAAATAACTGGGTCTTGCTGGCTTGACAGTAATGTTTCAACCAGTTCAGAATATTCCGCCTGTTGAAGAGATAAGTACACATAAGAACACGCACCTTCCTCCACTACCACACGAAACACAAAGCAGTGGGCCACGGGGGCCCCAAAGGCAGGGTCTGACAGCTCTTTTGAATATTTAACATTTACTAAAAGTTTACTGTCATCTAGGTACCGTTCCAAGCTTTTCCATTAGTAACTCACTGTTCTATAACAACCGTGTGAGGAAGATATCGTTTATATCCCTGTTTTACACACCAAGTTCTTCCACACAGTGAGATCACACAACCTACCCAAGAGCACAGGCCTCTGAGCAAGAACCGGCCACGCGGCGCCAGAACCCATACGATCACCTACCTTGTCACGCTGCCTCTTCCTTCTGTGTTTTCAAAGCACTTTTTTTTTTTGCATTTTACGATAGATTCTTAGTACGACAGATTTACGGTAGATTCTCAGGCCCTAAGTCTGCAAGCTGACTCTCAAATTTCCTGGAGGTTTACACAGACGTCTTGCCCACACGGCGGCAGCCACGACACGGCAGATGCGCACACGTGCAGATGGGGGCTGCGTGGGAGGTGGCGAGGGGCGGAAGGGAGCGCTGTGCAGAGGGGCTCCCCGAGGAAGGGGCTCAGCGACACAGAACAGTAGGGCATGGCTGGAGTTTTCCTGGGTTTACTGCCCTGCATGTAAAGCCTTACACAGAGGAGAGGGTGTGGGGTTACGGGGAACGGAACCGGGGCAGCTCTCAAAGCTAAGCTCTCATGAGAAAAGCAGGCCTGTCACTCTTCCTCATTAGCTTCTTGGGATGTCATGATAGATGCAAATGGGGAAACCAGATGTTAACTCCATTTGGAAAAGAGTAGTAAGGCACGCCCCCACCGCACGAGTCCAGGGGGCCACGCTAGCTGCCCTTCCCAGAGGCAGGCCTGCGCACGGGGATAAGTATAAACTCAAGTCCCCCCCACCCACTGCGCCCCCTGCCTGAGAAATGGCAGTGCCTCCAGGGCCAGCCCAGCCCCAGTCCCTGATCCCTTGTCTACAACGTGCACCCAGGTTTTTAAAAGGACATCAGAGGGGCTTTCCTGGTGGCGCAGTGGTTGAGAGTCCGCCTGCCGATGCAGGGGACACGGGTTCGTGCCCCCGTCCGGGAAGATCCCACGTGCCGCGGAGCGGCTGGGCCCGTGAGCCATGGCCGCTGAGCCTGCGCGTCCGGAGCCTGTGCTCCGCAACGGGAAAGGCCACAACAGTGAGAGGCCCGCGTACCGCAAAAAAAAAAAAAAGACATCAGAACGCAACGGCTTATGTATGCAGAGCAAGGAGGTCCACCCCCAAGAAGGGCACCATCCGCAGAAGGCAGTATCCAGGGCAGAGGCAAGAGATGAGCCCAGAGCCGCCCCACCTGGGGCGCAGGTGCTGCAGGAAGGGGGTCTTTAAGTATCATGCAAGACTCCTCAAAATCCTCCCTTTTTAAAAGAAGGGAAATAAAATCAAACCCTGCATACCAGTCACAGCAAATGCTACAGCCTCTATACTGAAGGAAAAAAAAAAAAAAAAGCTGCTCTGGCCAATGACTTGGTCATGCTGGGTTGTGTGCCTGTGCGTGGGGAGGAGGGGTGGGGGTACAGACTGGAAACCGAGGCAGCTGAGGACCCGACACAGCTCTTCTCGCACACCTGATGGGCACCCTCCACAGGGACAGGGAGGGACAGGCAAGCCAGCCTAACTCTCCTTCTGCTATAGCCCCCGTCACAGAGTGCTGCAGAGGCTTTCCAGGCTCCAACCAACCAGTTTTCCAGACTGCGCTACAAAATAACACACTGCGGCTTTCCATGCTTTCTGAAGGCAGACTCGTCGGGGTCCCCAGGTTTATCCATCTTGATTCCTTGCAAAGCTGTGAGTTCCTCAAGGACAGAGACTGTGTCTCCGTTACTTTGTCCTGAGTCCTGGTTCCCAGCACAGCTGTGTAAGGACAAGCTTTAGGGCAGCGATCGACATAAAGGACGGTTCATAACAGTGGAGAAGGGAAAGTAGTTGCTATTAACAGCTTGTCAGATAAACACAAAATTAAAAGTTAGAGCTATTGAGAGTGTGAAGAAATACAGCCTTGGACTTCCCTGGTGGTGCAGTGGTTAAGAATCCGCCTGCCAATGCAGGGGACACGGGTTCGAGTCCTGGTCTGGGAAGATCCCACATGCCGCAGAGCAACTAAGCCCGTGCGTCACAACTACTGAGCCTGCGATCTAGAGCCTGCGAGCCACAACTACTGAAGCTTGCGCGCCTAGAGCCCGTGCTCTGCAACAAGAGAAGCCACCGCAGTGAGAAGCCCACGCACCGCAACGAAGAGTAGCCCCCCGCTCGCCGCAACTAGAGGAAGCCCGCGCGCAGCAATGAAGACCCAACACGGCCAAAAATAAATAAAAAAGAAAAGAAATACAGCCTCACTGAATGGTGCGGAAGCACCGAGGCACAGACCCTCTGAGGACTGAGGGACAAACAGCCCATCTGTCTGAAAATCCCCTCACTACACAGAGCGAGGGGCCCGGGGAGGCGCGTCCAGTACCTGATGCAAGCACACCAGCGTGTAGAACGCCTCGCCAGCCGCGGTGGTCATTTCTGTGTTGTGCTTTTGCAAAACCAGCATATCAAACACCAGCTGAAAGTACACAGTAACACCTCTCAATAAAGACACATGATGACCATATAACCCTCCAGCCGCTCCCCACTGCGAAAGGGAAAAAGAAGGACAAAGAGGTTATTCTTCTTTATTAAACAAATCTGAAAAGTAAAGAAAATGGTTTTTAAAAAATCCAAGGATAACGTGAAGATGTTATTGCTTGCTGTGGTGTATGAAATAATCAAATTATCAAATTCCATGTTATATTCACCACATAAAATTTCAGGAACACAAAATAACCGTGGAGGATAACGTATCCAAGAAAGCTGATCTCCAAAAACTGCAGTGAACAGAAAGGCATGATCTCCTCGTGGATGAAGGTGCTGCCCCCTGGAAGGAAGACCCCCCCCCCCCCCCCCCCCCCCCCCCCCCCCCCGGCCACGACCCCCCCCCAACCTCCCACCTTGAGGAAGTGCCGTGTCGCCAGGAAAAGTGGCGAGTCTGTCTCCTGTGCTTTTGCACACTGTTCAGCTAACGGGGTCAAAGCTTCCAGGCACAGCTGGCAAACCTCCGAACTCATTCTGATCACGAAGGTCAAAGAACAAACTAGAGATACTTGACTTACAGAAGATAAACAATTAAAGCTATTTATCCAATGGATGGCTGTTTCTAGAAGGTGAGTACGTCGGTGAGTCTTTACTGAGCTAGGTGAGGACAGGAGAGTCCCAGTGTTTCCAAGATTATCCGTATGTGTCTGGGGCCCAGGACTGGAGCTTTGTGTGTGTTCTGACTGTGATGCACACAACCAAGTGGCAAAGATCAGAGACGCGGCAACAGGATGTGGCACTACTACCTGGGCTCCATGAGACAGTGACTTTGGGGCCCGGGGCCGAATGCCTCTGGGTCTGTGAAAGGAGGACGAGGGGGCAGGTTAATGAAAGAAACACAGAAGTAGGGCAGCTATAGGCATGACTGCTTTTTAAAGAAATAAGACTGAACCACAAAAGAAAAAATACAAATTTTGAAAACTTTTCTTCTAGCAACCTCTTTTTCCCTAGTGACAAGTGATCACGATGTTCACGCAAAGGATATGACGTCATTCCTAGTTCCAACGAGTACATCAGACTTTTAAAAAGATCTTCAGGAAGCTGTGGTATTTTTTCAGGAAAAATCTCACAGATAAATGTGATTAATTTGTAGTATTGATTACAAAGGGTTGGAAACTGAAAAAGAAATATTAAATATTTAGATGTTTAATGATATCTAACTTGTTTTCATTAATGGAATAAAGTAATAACCATCAAGCTTCTAAGTATAATGATTTGTTTAAAACATATACAGGATACAGAAAACACAAAGACCTAATTAAATGTAAAAGTGAGTTACAAAAACGGGAACACTTTAGTAACTAATATGAAAGTAACACGTAGCAGAAACAGTCATCTTCTGGATAGTTACCAAAGCCATAGCCAATTCCAGGTATTCTATGTTTACCTTGGAAAAGTGAACAAAGCAGCCAAATCTCAAATTACTAAATGGCCTGTGAATAAAAGCATTTGCATTCAAGCATGTGGGAAAATACAAGAACGTAATACAAACTGTTAAAATCAGGATTAGAACGGAGTATTCAGCCTTGCACACTTCCAGCATCTATTTACTGGTTGCACAGTCCTGGAGAACTGAGGTAAAAAGCAGGTAATCTACAGCTAACCTCATTTAAGAAAATACACATCTAAATGTCTAATGGTTTATTTGATGAATAAACACCAAAAAACAAAAGAACCCGAAAAGCAAATCAATACACAGAGCTTCCTAAACTTCCCATCCTGCTGGCTGCTTCCCGCAGAGACACTTCTCCAGGAGGGACAAGCCTACAGTCACAGCCGCGCGCTGGGAACCTAAGAGCTCTCACTCTGACCCTCAACTGCACAGGCCCCTCCCAGCCCTGCTTCCTCCCCAGGCCCCTCCCTCTGCCCCTCTATTTTGTCCACCTCACTCTTCCTCTCCAACCTCCCACCTCCTGACAACGCAGAAGACACCCTCCCTCGATGGTACTCAGAGTGGGAGAAAGGGCAGCCTCATCACCACCACACCCTTGACATCAACCAGTGAGAGAAACCAAGGCCCAGTACAGTCAGAACGTATGGAACTTGACCAGCTGTGTGAGCCCTGGTTTCTTACCATTCCATTTCTCCACGGAGCGGCTGGGAAATGCCCTCTGTTGCCCAAACCCTCAGCCTGAGAATGATGTTGGGAAAGCACCAGAAAAATACACTACACATGAAACTTCCTGTATTTGCTGAACGACAAATGACGAGGGAATCAAAACCGCGAACATCGGCACTTGGGTTCTAGAAGAACCAGCCTTTCCCTGACACTGAGGGATCAGTGAGTGCAGGGCTCCAGGGAAGGCATGGGTGTGAAGGACACAGGACAGCCACACAAACACTTTATTTCCACACACACTTAACAGATGAGTAGGTACTGGCCCCCTTAATTAAATCGGACGTGTATTCGTGCCTGAAATATCTTGAACCTTCGAGTTCAAGCATATGCGGTTTTAACTTCACATTCCTTTCTTCACTTACCTTCAAGAGGTCCTGTGACATCAAGGGCAGAATCAGGTTCACTCCATATAACACAACATCGGCTGCCGACACAGATCTGTTTGCTGCTGGCCCAGGCTCCTGACCCCTAAACACTTCATCTATAAAGTGAGAACAACGCAGTCTTACAGCCGTAACATCAATAAACCTACGAAGGTGGGTATGTTCTCCTGCATGAAAGTGAAAGCGAAGTCAAGCCCCCAAGACAAAATAAATCTACAAGAGGATAATACAGCCTTTCGTGTTGTCCTGTTTAGGGTCTGAATACTGGACGCAGATATTGTGTTTACATTATCATTCTACGACGATGAAAGTAAAACTAACGCTTAATCAATGTTTTTTGAAAAGTAAAATTGACCCCACTGACACATTGGTCATACTGTGAGTTAAATAATTTCCACAGTACTATTCACTTTTCTCCTAGGTGTGTGGGATTTTTCTAAGCTGGAAAGGAATGGGGGGAGATATAGGAATTAAATATTGCATAAAAAAAAGAAAGTTTTTTTTAAAAAGCTACTAATATGACAAAGGATTATTACCCTTAATCCATAAAGGAGGCACATAAATTACTCAGAATCTTAAAACCTTAACAGATAAAGGACCAAAATCCACAGACAAACACCTAACAAAACCATAAGCCCAATGAAAAAAAAACAAGTTCGATCCAATCATTAAGCAAGCAATACAAAGTTTTTGAAGGTACTACTTCTGATTCATTAGATTACAAGTGACTTCTGAATGATAACATGTAAATGGTGGTGAGGATACAGTGTGATAGTTACCCTCAAAAGCAATATAATAAGAGACTTCTGAGCGCTGTATATAGTAAAGGATATAAACATAAATTTAGACAGTGATTCATCCACAGAAGTCATTAGTTTATCACTGTAACAGCAAAGTTGTAAATACTCCAGATGTCCTGTATTACAAAAACAGGGTTAGGTTCCAAAATGTGGATTACCACGCAGCCATCAAAAAGTCATGAAAAATTTTAATGACAAGGAAGAGGCTAATAATACATTAATGAAAAAGGCAGAATATAAAATTATATTTGGAGCATAATCACAAAAAAATTATACAAAATAACCAAAAGGGAAATTAACAAAATGCAATTACTCTGGATTATGTCAAAGCATGGGTGATTTTTCTGTCCCTGTACTTCAAGTGTTTTCTATTATGAGCGTATTTACTTTCAGAACAAGGGGGAAAAAAAGGACAAAATGTGGTAAAAAAGCACTTCTACTTAAAAACCACGTTTTCAGCCTAATTCTGTACTTTTCTCCAAGAGCCTCAGTTCCAGCTGCAAGAATCCCATTTTCCAAAGCCGGGCATGGCGAGCCTGGATCCATCCAGTAGGAAGCCTGGGCCTGCTGGGCCGGGGCCATGGCAGGCTGGCCACCGCCGCTGGGTCTGCTCGAGAGACGGCTCCTGGCCTGGGTTGTGGGACTCAGCTCTGCAGCCACGGGCTCTGCCAGGGGCTCAAGAATGTCATGCAGAGGCTCATTTTCAGTTATGCTTTTATATCTCACCTGGTATGTTAATTTTATTTCATAATATTTAAAATATTTTCTCTTATCTCACCTATTATCTGTATTTTATTTTTAATAATTACTTAAAAATATTCTCTCCCTTTTTACCATCTATTTTATCTGTTGCTTGATCATTTCCTATGTTAATTGTCTTCATTTTCTTTTTTCTAGACCTCAACCCTATCCACCTTATTCTATTCTTTTTACCCTTATTTTGTACTTTCAATCCTGAGCATTTTGGCCTCAATTTCTTTTCTAACATTGTATTACGATTTCAATCCTTCTGCTTTTTTCTTTTGAAAACCTGCCCGTCCACACTTACCCAGACTGTTTACTCCACAGCTCACTCCCAGGGGAGCCTGAGAGGGCTTCTGTCCCCTCCAGATGCCCTTCATACAAAGCTCTCCCATCCCTCTCAGTATCAGTTCTTAACTGAGAGTCAGTTCATCAGGGTACAGGGCTCTTATCCTGGTCCTTACACCCCTGGGGAGTCTACAAACCAACTAACACGGCATGTGAACCTCAGCGGGTCATGTGACACACACCCTTCAAGGCAAAGGCTCAGAACAACTTGAGGCCTCAGAGGCGCATCTGATCTAGAAAAGGTGAAGCAACCCCGGCCTGAAGGAATCAGAAAGTCTGGGACCGACACGCGCACGAGTGGCTGGGCCTGGAAACAGCGGCAGCGGACGCCCTTCACCTGGTGCCCTGTCAGCCGCCCAGGGCAGTGAAGCTCCTGGGCTGAAGCTGACGGTACCTGGCACAGGGCAGCTCTGCCAGAAACCTCTGCTGAGTGAACCGGTGGAGGGAACAGAGAAGAACACGTCCAGTGTCAGGTGTGCTGAGCGCAGGGGGCGAGAAGGGGTCGGAGGAGGGAGGGGCAGCACCACCGGCTGCCTGCGGGCAGCTCAGCCCGGGGAGGAGACGTGGACAGCACATCTTCCCCGTGGAGCTGGAGGCCCCTGTGTCCTGAGGCAAGGCAGGCGGTGGGCAAGAGGTGCTGAAGGAGAGCTGCGGACACGCGGGGCTCCGGGCACCCGGACATGCCTGCCTGTGACAACAGCGGTGACGAGAACGGCAACGGCAGGCACCAGAGGTACCTGCCGGCACATCGTGAACAGTTTGGCAGGCACCGATCATCACAGCCCCTGTAACAGCAAGGGAGGCCCAGGAAGGCAACAGACTCCGCAAGGTCATGCTGCTGGGGAGCCCCAGGTTAGGGCTTTGGAGTGTCGCCTGTCAGCCCCCAAGTCCAGTGGCTCCCAGGCTGCAGTGGGCACAGGGCTGGGGCTTCCTCAGAGGACACGGAGGGGGAACTCGTCAGTAAAGCGAGCTCTGACACTGGCCTCTGAAGTCAGACGCTGGGGTGCGCGAGCTGCACACCTGCAGGCAAGTGGTGTAAACTCCTGGGCCTATTTCCTGGCCTCTAAAACGCGTGCACCAGTGGCACCAGACTCATGCTGCCGTGACAGGGACAGTGCCCGGCACTGGCTAGGAGCCTGGGACAGGGAAGACACCAGCACTTTCATCTCTACCAGAGGAAGGCCAGGCACACAGGGCTGTTGGTCCCGCTCTGCCCGTGGCCGCGGGGACCGGCTGGCTTCCGCCTGTTCTGTAAATGGGGCCTCCTCGTGAGACGTCACATACCGCAAGCACTGCTTCGCTTGGACAGAAGCAAGCACAGGCCTAGAGGCCGAGCGCGGGCGCGCCTACCTGTGTCGCTGAAGTCTATGAACTCCTTGGACAGGAGGTTGGTGAGGAGCTCCATGATGAGCAGCAGGTCCTGGTACTGCTCCTCCTCCTCCGCGGGAGCGTCGGCCCGCTGCCGCCCCACGTTGTTCCTGGAGTACACGCGCAGCAGGGTGAGGCACGCCTCGTACAGGTTCATGGCTTTGGACTGGGAAAAAGCAGGCAGAGGTCAGGCTGCTGGGGGAGCCTGGCTGGGGAACATAAACACTACAGAAGTCCAAGATGTAATCCAATAAATTTACTCTGAATCCCAACAGCAGCTCTAACGCTTGTCGTAAACTACATTACAGCACTGACAAAAATGAGAAAGCATAAAGATTACGGTTATATTTAAAACATTAGTTTTCTAACAATAAAATTTGACACTCTTTTTGTGTGCATTAGATTGTGCCTACCAGAAAGACAATACAATTTTGGCAACAGAACCGCTTTACTCCTGCTCTTTAACTTCTTGTACGACGTGGATTACTTTAAGCTGTAGAATGGTTTAAGGTGCAGAAGCACAGAGCACCAAGCATTAGAATAAAGGGCACTGGCCTGAGCTCTGAACAGTGCACCTGTGACGACTTTTGTAACACTGACCAAATGTAACCTCACTTTTAAGCCGGTTCCTTTGATCTACAACAACAACAAACACACAAATCACGAACATCCTTGCTGACTGAATATAAAAGAACTTAGTGTATCTGAACATTCATCTGACTTACAAAACAAAGATGCAAACTGCCACTTAAAATGCTAAGTCCTAGGGTTCTACCACAGAGCAATTTATTAACATTTTCTACCATAATCCATTTGTTTTATCAAATATTCCTCATGTGAATGAGTTTGACAGAGTAACATATTAGCCCAAAGAAATGCCTCATTATTAACATTTTTAGGGCAAGAATTTACATTCGTTCAATATGCCTTCCTCTGAACTCTGAGTTCTTTTGAAAAATCTTTTGGAGGTATAGAAATATTATTTCAAATAACGTTCATTTAATCTGAAGCAAAGCATCTATCATTTTGTTATAGCTATCAGGAGTTTTGATCTGGAAGGGATCAAAGTAGACCGTGCTCACCTCTCCAAGATAGCATATCTGCTTATGTGCAACTTCAACAAAAACTTCTATGATGAGATTGACAGTCTCGGGGGTATTTTTGTAAACTTCCATCAATCCAATGCAATTGGTAAGGAAGTCCATTAAAAAGTTGAAAAGGATGGCTACATTGTCAACCTGGGTAGCCTCAGCAATGCCACACAGGGCCTCCAGCGTGGCAGTGATCTCCTGCTTCACCTCCTCCTGCTGGCACATCTGCGGAAAGTTCTCCTGGTTTATCACTCTTAAGAATCGCTGCTGAAGAGGCTGAAGAACCTACAAAAATAAAGCGTGAATTTTTTAAAAGTCTGATTTACATGCTTAGTTTCTTCAACTTGGGTAAATATTTACTTTCCAAAACATTTCTAATTGTTGGAGGCAAAAAAGCACAAAAAACAAAAAAAATACCCGAACCACATGTTACAAGCCCCACTTTGAAGGGGATCCTAACTTCTGGCAAACAAATAAATAACACAGCACGTGCAAAGGTGCTCATATCACCAGTCAACAGGAAAACGGAAATGAAAACCACAACGAGATATCACCTCACATCTATCAGAATGGCCATCAAAAAGACAAGAAATAACAAGTGCTGGCAAGGGTGTGGAGGAAAGTGAACCCTCGTACACTGTTGGTGGGAACTCAAATTGGTACGGCCATTTTGGAAACAGTACGGATGTTCCTCAAAAAATTAAAAATAGAATTACCATAGGATCCAGCAATTTCACCTCGCATATTTATCTGAAAAAGTGAAAACACTAATTCGAAAAGATACACGCACCCCTATGTTCATAGCAGCACTATTTATAATAGCCAGGACACGGAAGCAACCCAAGTGTCCATCGACAGATGAATGGATAAAGGAGACGTGGTACATATATACAATGGAATATTACTCAGCCATAAAAAGCAAGGAAATCGTGCCACTCATGAAAGCATGGATGGATCTTGAGGGCATTATGCTAAGTAAAATAAGTCAGACAGAGAAAGACAAATACTGTATGATCTCACTTACACGTGGAATCGAGGAGGGAGGAAGACAAAGATAAAAACTTTCAGTTACAGGACTAATAAGTCCTGGGGGGCTTCCCTGGTGGTGCAGTGCTTGAGAGTCTGCCTGCCGATGCAGGGGACGTGGGTTCGTGCCCCGGTCCGGGAAGATCCCACATGCCGCGGAGCGGCTGGGCCCGTGAGCCATGGCCGCTGAGCCTGCGCGTCCGGAGCCTGTGCTCCGCAACGGGAGAGGCCACAACAGTGAGAGGCCTGCGTACCGCAAAAAAAAAAAAAAAAAAAAAGCCCTGGGGATGTAACGTACATCATGATGACTATATGAGATGTAGGAAAGTGAAGAGAGGAGATCAGAGAGTTCTCATCTCAAGGAAAAAAATGCTCCTTAATTATTTTTTTTTCTTTTACTTTTTTTGGTATCTGTGAGATGACAGATGCTGTCCGTGTCACAATATATGTAAGTCAAACCATTATGCTGTACACCTTAAAGTTATACCATGATGTATGTCAATTACATCTCAGTAAAACTGAAAAAAAGAAATTATTACTTATGGAAAAAATATAAGTGCATGCTATCATCATACTTCCTTAGGTAATTTAAGTTCAAAAGAAGAAAAAAAAAGACCTCCTTGACGCCATTCACAGGATTCTGCCACTATCTTCATCTCTTTCCCATTAGCAAAAAAAAAGAGAAGATATTTCATAAAGGGCCATAGGGTAAATCTTTTACACTTTACAGGACGTACTATCTCTGGCCCAACTATTCAATTATGATTTCACTGTAGTGCAGAAGTAGCCATGGAAAAGATGTAATCGGTTAAGCATGACTGTGTTTCAATAAAACTATTTATAGGGACTTCCCTGGTGGTCCAGTGGCTTAAGACTCCACGTTCCCAATGCAGGGGGCCTGGGTTCGATCCCTGGTCAGGAAACTAGATCCCACGTGCCACAACTAGAAGTTTGCATGCTGCAACGAACACCCGTCGCAGCCAAATATATAAATTTTTTTTTTTTTTTTTTTTGCGGCACGCGGGTCTCTCACTGTTGTGGCCTCTCGCATTGCGGAGCACAGGCTCCGGACGCGCAGGCTCAGCGGCCACGGCTCACGGGCCCAGCCGCTCCGTGGCATGTGGGATCCTCCCGGACCGGGGCACGAACCCATGTCCCCTGCATCGGCAGGTGGACTCTCAACCACTGTGCCACCAGGGAAGCCCTAAATAAATATTTTTTTTAAACTTTATTTATAAAAACAGCAGGCCAGATTTGGTCTGTGGGCTGCAATGTCCAGCCTCTGTCCTACTGGGTGAAGACCAACACAAAGCTCCAGCCTGTTTTTCCCCTTCCAACTCCCCTGGGTATAAGAGTAAACAGGCACATTCATGAAGAGGATCTCTTAATTCTATTTAAAGCTGCACGTATGAAAATAAATGATTTAAACTGGAAACACATGGTCAGGCTGATTTCCATTCTGGCTCTGAAGTCGCAGACTACTGCCTATTTCTGTTACTGTGCCCTTTCTCAACACTAAGGGCATCCAGTCACAGGGATTACAGGCTGGCAACCTAAATGCACTGGTAACTCTTGGTTCCCAATTTAAACCTTATTATATAAGACGACGTGTCCAGGGTGGTGGCTATGGCTTGAATTACATCCCGCCAAAATTCATGTGTTGAAGTCCGAACCCCTGGTACCTCAGAACATGACCTTATTTGGAAATAGGGCTGTTTCAGATGTAATTAGTTATTAAGATGAGGTCCTTTGGGTGGGCCCCTAACCCAGTATGACTGGTGTTCCTATAAGAAGGGGAAATTTGGAACAGACATGGGCACACGGAGATGCAGGGGAATCAGGGTGATGCACCCACAAGCCCAGGAACGCCGCAAACTGCCAGCAAAGCACCAGGAGCTCCGGGAAAGGCCGGGAACCCCAGGCCCTCCGTCACAGCCTCAGAAGGAACCAGCCCTGCCCACACCTTGATCTTGGATTTCTGGCCTCCAGAACCGTGAGACAGTAAATTTCCGTTGTTTAATCCACTAAGTTTGTGGTATTTTGTCAAAGCAGCCCTAGCAAGCCAACGCAGTGGTTAATTTGTATGTCCTTGTCCAAGACAAAGGAACATGTCACGGGTTCTTCATGGAGAAGCAACACACCAGCTCAGGCTGTCATTCGCGTTGGGGAAAAGGTGTCTAAAGTGCCGGGCACTCGACAGCGTTCAACGTCCTCACGCAAGCAGGTCAGCAGGTCGGACAAACTCTAAGCGCCAACCCACTCGTTAGGAGGGAAAACACCAGAAAAGCTATGTTTCCACAGACTGTCTGCGGCAACACATAGATGAAACGCCGGCAGGGCGACGTGGAAAAGCCGTCAAAGGCAGGGGAATGGTTACCTCTGTCCAGTACTGCTGCTTGGTCTCTGCGTCCATGTGAGCGAAGCCCCCCAGGACAAGCGCCTTCATCAGCGTCCTCTGCACGGGGCTGGACAAGAAGTTCAGAGGTGGGCTTCGGCTCGCAAACTGCTTGGCTAGGTTCCACCAGCTTTCACACTGGATCACCAGGTTTGCCCTGCAGGGAGAGACAAGACGCATTACTTGCTTACACTGCATGTGCACTAAGTAAACAAAGTGCAGGGCTACGAGCTTCAACTTCTGTTTCAAGTCCAGCACAGACAACTTGGTATAGACTTTGGAGTCTTGTATTCAGACCCAACTAGCCATTTGTCAACGTAAAGTTTATTTAATCTCTCTTAATTATCAGTTTCCTGATCTATAAGATAAAGATAACAACAGTAATAACAGCCCTAAATTTCATGGCTGAGACTGATGAAATGATTAAATCAGATACTTCATACGAAGTGTTTGCAACAGTACCTAATAAATTACAAGAATTCAATAAATAGTAGCCAATGACAGTAATAATAACAATCATTTTCCTATATAGTAAGAAAACTGAAAACATCTCCAGAATTTGTTGTAGAAAGCACTAAAAATTTTACTTTGCAAAATTAAACTATTAATTGTCAAATTATCAGTTTTTCTCATCTTTAAAATGGGATAATACTAATGCGATAGCTGAAAATTCAAATAAGACTATTCTATATTAAAACTGTAAATTACTGAATTAAGTATGTTACTCATAAAGATTCTCTGATGACAAATCCTTGAACATCTATGCAATCTTCAGTCGTAACATGGAAAAGCCCTGTTTGCACTTGTAACAAGACTATGATATATTTTTTAAAACACATTGCTCCAAAAAAAATAAATAAAACACATTGCTCCAAAAACGCTGGGTCTACCTAAACCTTAGGACCGTGTAACCGTTCACCACTTGAAAAGACTCCACTGAAGTCACACATGTCAGCTCACCTCTCCCTTCTCTCCACCAAAGTGACGAGCAGCTGCACTGTGTCATTTGCGAGGTCCTGCTCACTGCTGCACACCGAGAGGTTGCTGAGGACCTTCTGCAAGAGGTAGCCAACAATCCACTGAGAGCCCTCTGTGTCTGCTCCAAATGCTGTACTGAATGGCACGCTTATCTTCAGAGAAAACAAATTTTTTAAGGTCAGAAAGAAAGATCTGCCGGAAAAAGGAAAGAAAACAAAAACAAAAAAACCCGTAGAGAAATCAAACTGAAATTAGCACTAAATCAGAAGTATTGCTTACTTCACACCAATTTTCTAAATGTATTCATTTCCAAAGTCCAAAAAGGAACATCATCAATCCACTGATGTTTCCCAGTGTGGTTTTCCTATTAGCTTTAATTATTCTCATATTACATACACAGTCACACATTCACACCAAATACAAAGAACATAAATTAATCCATTCCCAAACAGTACTCTGAACTTAATATAGGTTAAAATAAGCAGAAATCACATGATATGCTCTAGGAAAAGTTAACAAAACGGCACGCTGTCCACACAGTTTTCTCCAGTGTGGAAGATGCTCAGCTCTTACTCACATTCTGATGAGAAAATCACCAAGAAAAATGTTCTCATTTCTATAATTCCCATGCTCATAAATCCAAACGAAATCAAACGGTTTTACATTCTGACCTGATCGTACAGTTTCTCATCCACCAGGAGATAAGTCTTTGCCCAGCGTTTTAGAAACCAAACAATATCTTTGCCCATCTGAGGGCTTAGCAGGTGCGTGAGATCTGCCCTTATTGCCCGAGACTCAACTTCTGAAACTCTGAGAACAGCAGACAACAGCCTGTAGGTACAAAAAGGAAGTCATTTATTCCTTTATCAGTTTATTGGCTGTCTAACCATATTTTTTTCCTAAAAAGCCCTTTTCTGTTTCTCAACTCTCTGAAGTTTTCTTCAAGAGGGTTGGAGACAGATGCCCCATTTTACTGCTGACCTTTCAGGAAGCAGGAGAAAAGGAAGAGAGTCGTGGCTGGACTAGTCATGGCCTCTGTTGGGCTGTGATTACACGTGCGAGTCTCAGCACTACTGTCTAAAGAGATTTTTCAGGTTCAAAACAGAGAAATGCACACAGTTAAAAGCTACTTAAAACCCACGGACACTGGTCGTTTTATGGTGTGGGGACGGGCCAGCGACTCATCCAGAACGTTCTGAATACTCAGTCTTGTCTCTAAATCTGACAGTCCTATTTATTTCCTAACAAACTTGACTTTCAACGTTATTTTTAAATAGAAATGTTGCTAGAATTACCTACATAAGTGCATGTATTGTCCTTTCTACACTACCGGATTCATACGCTGAGCAGCGTTAACACAGCACGATATGCAGACCAGTAGGAAAAAAAAAAAAAAAAAGGCTTTGTTCTGGGTTTGGAAGGGGGGCACAAGGGATCTGTATTTAACCTGACTTTAGCTAAAAGGCAAAGAAGCAAAGGACTTAGGCAAAAGAGCCCATCATGACACCATTCTAGGAATATCAGCGCTAAGGCAGGAACGCGGCTTTCATTGCTGCTCTCAGGGTGAGTGAAGCCATCTCCCTGCTGTGAAACCTCACGGCAGTTTCAGTCCCTGACCCACTGCTACCTCCTTCGCAGCTGGCGACATCCCCCTCCTCTGACCGTCTTCTTTACACAGGTGGGTTTACGGTCTTCTTGTCTCACTACATACACTCGCTATGCCAACAGCGCTCACAGTTTTAAAAATGATTTTAGAGTGTACGTGAGCAAAACTAAGCCAACGATCTCACGACGCATTGTGAGCTGAAGTATCAAATTTTCCCCATAAGAACAAAGAGCTTAAATGATGTAATCTGCAGGCTCTCAGAACGTGCACTAAGCACTCACAGCAACCATGTAAATGTATGCACTGGGATTTAACTACCCTAGAATTCTGGTACCCATCACCATCCATGTGAAAGAGAAACAAGTTTTTCTTTCACAGTTGGAAGCTTTACACTTTCTTTTTCGCCTTAGATTTTTATTCCTGTTTCATTTCCCCACAGACTATTATCCTAACATAATAAACTCCTTACACTCGCTTCATCGATCACACCATGTACTTCTCTGAAACAAGTATGTATAGATATTAAAATATAATTCTTAAAACTTTCCAGCGATAAGACTGTGTTAAAATGTCTTCTGGATTGAGTTATCGTTACAAGACTTAGTAGTACACAATTGAGCAAAATATCACACAAATTTAAATAAATTATTAAACACATTTATTAAAAATGAAACTTTACGTACAACACAGGGAATACAGCCAATATTTTATACTAACTATAAATGGAGCATAAACTTAAAAAACTGTGAATGACTATATTCTACACCAGTAACTTACACAATATTGTAGGCCAGCTATACTGCAATTTAAAAATATTAAAATAAATAAATAAAACGGATGTATCTTAATAAGATTAATGTGGCAGGGTTTGATTTTTCCAAATCAGTCCATGTGTAATTTGATTCCTGTTTTTCATTTCAATAGATATGAGCACTGAGAAAACGCGTTCACATAAATTAATGGGAGGCGTCTTTAGAACAGTGGGGTCCCTCAAGTACGTGAAGTAATAAAGCTCACGCTGACGGCACCCTGTAACACCGACAGGTCTGTAACACCCTGAGGTCTGCACACCTGGCCCTCGGGCAGCCGGCCTCCTTCCCACGGCACTGACAGTCTGCTAACAACCGCGCCATTCCCTTACTTCTTCCCTCTCCCACACGAGGAGCTTGAAAGGGGGAGCAATCTGTCTGCTCTAGAACAGTGCCTGGTACGGAGTAAGCACTCGATAGTTACTTGTCAAATGATGATTTCTTCAAGAAATGCAAACCACTTTCTTAGTAAACAAGGTCTGTCTCCCTCCTGCCGTTCAATGTCACACTCGCTCTTTGGACTGAAGAACAACGGTGACTCCTGTTGTTCCGGTCCCCACCTCAACCCTTCACAGGCTTTGCTCTCAGACACCAAAATGTTTTGCTCCCTCACTGATACCCAAGACTGGCAAAAATTGAAAAAGCACTGAAAATACAAGGAAAGCATTCCTGAGGGTACTGCCCAGGCAAGAACAGTGACACAGAACACAACAGGACAGCACCCTGAAATGAACTGACTCCGCAGTTAACATTCACCATGAACCAAACCAAAGCAATTACTCCACCTAATGCTGAAAGCAATCCCAAAAGGAAGAAATAAAACTTTTCCAATAGAGCATTGACATTGACATTTTATTTCAAATCAGAGAATGCAACAATAAAGGAAATAAATTCCCAAACATTTCCTTGATATCCACTTAACAGTTTAATTAAAAAAAAAACGTATTTTCTATTGCACAGGTTTAAATGGTATCTATGTTATTTTGCATTAAAATAAAAAGAATGAGGGGACAGCACCTTGTTTGAGTTCATGATTTTGCAACAGACAAAAACCAATATTATGTCATTATTCTCTCTGTCTGCAACCTAATTTAAAGTTTAAGATGCTGAAACTTAAATTGCTGTTTTCAAATCCACTTTTAGGAGGATATTTAGTTCACGTTCATCCCTCCTTAACTTCACCATCAAGAATTAATGGAAGTTTTACCACTCCTCTCAGGAAGATCACAGTGAATTCTTTCATCTGAGGCACACTGCCATCTTATAACAGGGCTCTCAAGGTTCACACACACTCAGGACAAATATTTCTACTTTATGAGAGGCCAGGAAAGCCACCGGAAAGTCATTCCAGCTTCCTGAACAATAAATACGTGTTCACGTTCACCTGGTTTCTAAGAATTTCCCACTCTTGGTGCTTTCATTCAGGTGCCTGAACCCGCATTAGCACTGCTTTCTGATGGTCAAGGGCTGTGTCTGCAGGAATTAGACCAAATGTCCCTTCAAGGCCTCATGCATCCAGAATAACCTTACACTTGTCCTCCTCGGTACTGGACACAGCTGCCAATTCCCACCAGAGTGGTACCGCTTAAATGTGCTGAGTACTTGCCATCCTTGTTTGTTTCAAGGCTTCTCCGAGTTTTATCTTCTTTCGTGTGTCAGCTTTACAACCCGCCTGTCCCTCGAGCCATCTACCCGTCAACTCAGAACTTATAAAACAGAATCAATTACAAGAGCACAGCTATAGAGGTCATATTACCTAATCACAGAATCTGTTCTGTTGTACCCTGGGATGGAAGAAGCCTTTTCTCCTGGAGATCCCAAAATTTGAAGTGTTGTATTAATGTCAACTTCAGATGAATGCTTAATGGAATATTCCATTATTTCTGGAGGTATTAGCGGAGTCTCTCCCTGAGTATCATCAGCTAAGAGGTAGCCTTCAGTTTAAAAAAAATTAAAAATGAACACTTAACAATCTACATTTAACAAATTGTACTATAAATGTTTTCAGTTTCATCTGATTTATATACACCATATAAATTGATGTAAAAGTAAATTATAAATGTTAATATGTTAATTCAAGTTTGATGAGAAACTTTCTGTTTCTAAGATAATTAACCCTCAAAAAACACAGGAAAGGACAAAGGACAAAAGTTTTATTCACCAATTTTATAATTCATACTGACATGTTAGGCTTTTTATTCTGTAATCTTTTAATAATTTTCAGTACTATATTCTGTAAAGTTAATAGGAATTCTACTATTATCTTTATCAAAAGTCAGTATTTGGGAATGCCTTTCCAAACATTAAAGTTGTGTGTTTTTTTCCCCTGATTATTTAAAATACAGAAACACTGACAACATGGTTACAGAAGAAGACCCTAAAGAAAAGTAAGACTGCTGGGATTTGAACTCTGGCTCCAAACATTAACACCAGTGTGACCAGGGCTGGTCTCCAAGTCTCAGATTCTTTGCGTATAAGACGGGGTGATAATTAACAATGATAGTAATAATAACAGCAACAAGGACAACCATAATACCTAATAATAGTACTAATGCAGGGGCTACAATGAATTCCACATAAAACATGTGGTACAAAACAGGCACTGAACACGTGCCAGCCAGTACTGTAGAGAGAAGCAGCCGTAGCTCTGTGACATACCACAGCTGTATCCAGATCTCAAGCCAACCCTACGTATGAACTAGCATTATTAACTCAGGAAGCTTCTCTTGGGGCTGAGACTACTCTGCTGGCAATGACATTTTACAAAGAAACAACCAACCGACCTGTAACTAAAATAAGCCAGTGGATATCTTCGTACAGATCATCCAGCACCTTGCTGTCGGCAGAGCCTGAAGCAGGTGAAGCGAGGAGCTGCTGTTGCCGCCGCTGCAACTGCCCGTGGAGCCGCGTTACTCTTTCCTCTAATAAACTACAAGAAGGAAAATATCAACGGCTTCGTGAAGCTCAGTAAGCACAGACCCAGAACGACTTATTGCCACTTATTAGACAGCAGAAATTAAGATGTTAGCACAAAACACATATACAAAAGTATTTATTATGTACACAGTGTTCTCATGGCGCTGTAAGAACTGTGATTTATTGTTTACGACATAGATGAAAACATCGCTTACAAACAATCAAGGTTTATTACAACAGGCATTTGAAAACCGGTTATTCCAAGATGTTACTGATACGGGTCCCATCACTTCTCATACCATGTTTTCCATAATCTCTCTGCCATCTATGCTGTGGTGCCTGGGCTCCAAATGTACAAGCCAAGGAACGCAATCGTGAGTGTGTTTCTGTCCATTTGTTCCGTGTGCTGGGGCACGGGGAGGGGGTGTTTAAAGTCCTTAAACACTTTAAGTGCTCGCCGGGGGATTGTGAATAGACAGTATTTGTCCATGGGGTGTCTTTGGACTGTGTGTACCTTGTCAGGAGAGGTATACAGTGCTCTGCAGCAATGCGTCCTAGCATTCCTACACTGGCTAGTTGATCTGAAAACTGGTCTCGATCATCCTCCTGCAGTTCACTTATCTCTTCTTCCTCACGAGAGGCCACTCCGTTGGCAGTCTGTTATCGATGAAAGAAATAAAGACGGAGCTGTCACGTAACCGCAACACCACACGCGAAGAGGAAGGCCGAGCAGAGCCATGCCGGCCGCCCGGGCAGGTACCAACAAGGGGGAAACTCGAAGAGCAAGAGTGGGGGTATGGCCCCCCCACTGTCGCACGTAAACACAGCCAGTGCACACCTCCCACCCACCTCCCACACCAGAGACTTCAACTTCTGTCACTGAAAAGATCTGACACCTTTAAGGTCCACAGTCCTTTGGATATCACCTGACAACTAACAGGGCACAGGTGGGTTACTGAAAACTAAGGAGATGAAGGTAACTACAAGCCACATCCCACAAAACACGAACCTGTTTAGACTTTTGCTCTCCATCTGATGCTCTCAGCAAGTCCTCTGAAGGAGCTCACCTATGTTTCTAGTATTTATTATACGATGAAATAGATTTTTAATTACAATCTGGCTTAAAACTTACCAAATTCCTTGTGCCATCGGGAGCTGCTAGGTGGCACTGAATATAGGAATTGAACACTTGAACTGCGTGTTGGGTGAAAAAGCCTTTGTGGAAATGCTTGTCGTCTTGGACCAGCGTCAGCCAGGACTCCAGCAGCCTGTCGTATGCTTCCATGTACACCATGTCGTCTTTATCCAGCTGAGAGCAAAGGACATTCACAAGACAGATGGCCAGAGAGTAAGACGGACATCACAGCAAGCATCCCACAGCCAGACAGACAGGGTTACAGGTTTTCCTTTAACAAAGGTTCCCAATTATTAATCAACGATCAAGCTAACTGAGCTCGTCTTAAAATTAATTGATCAATTCAAACATTGCAGTAAATATGTGTAGGCTTTTTATTAAACTTTCTAAAATCTTTCTAACAATCTAAATTCTTAGGCAAATAGGAATTAATGTTTATTTCTGTAAAAGACTAGCCATTCAGCGCTTTGCAGATGTGTTTTTCAAACAAAAATGTTAATGTTTTTCTGTAGTCAAGATGAGAACTGTTAGATTAAAGTAAGATTAAATGATTTTAGAAAAACTGAAGAATGATGAGAACAGACTGGCCTAATTAGCATATTTAAGAACACATGGGGAGAGCTTCACAGATGCTCCTTGACATTTTATTAGAAACCAGGAAGGCAAGGATGGGCCTCAAAGAAGCCGGAGGAGGGCGCAGAGGCAGGAGGGCCCTCGGGAACAGCGCAGCACGTGTGAGGACCCACGGGGAAGCCCCATGGACGGTGAGCAGACGGACTGGAAGGAGCCAGGCCTGGATGCGACCACCATGTACAGGCTGGGTCCTAACACAGCTTCAGAGTAAAGGATTCTGCCACTCGAGGAGGAAGAGCTCACACGGAGGACGCCAGACAGCTCTGCTCATCTTCTCACATGCCGGCAAGAATCCACGTCCGAACTCTGCCATTAGTTAGTAATGTGGTACGTAATTCAATCTTTGCATCGATTTCTTCATCCACAAATTCACTAGGTCACTATTCAGTGAAACTCGGAACACTTAGGTGTCAAGCACTATGTTTGGTGCAAAAACATAAATAACACACCATTCATTGACTTTCAAGCTCAACCCAATGGAAAAAAGTGAGAAGCAAGCAAAGCACTTGCAGAAAATACACTACAGGCCACAAGAGATAAGCATACACTCCGGGGTCAGTTTTTAATAACGGCATCTCTCGTAAGTAATTTGTTAGAAATAAAGGAGCAGAGCCTTCGAGCTATGTATTCGACCTTAAAAGGTTTTGTTTGGCACAGTTTCAGATGTTCTGTTAATATGTAGCGAACCAGGAACCGGGAACACGAAAGGTCTACAGGTCTGGTCTACAACTTGCTCTCCTGGTTTCCAAAACAGGCCTCAACCTACAAATACACCAACTCTAGAACCTCCATCAGAGAACGCCACCCCAAACTGTTATTTCAGCAATTTGTCAATGACTCAAAAAAGAAAGTAATGGGAGATCTATTTCTAGTATTCCAGCGTAAGCTGGACCATCAGGATACCACCTCCAGATTAGAATACACAAGCACCTAAGGAACTGCTTCCAGTGAATGGTGTTTTATGTCTTTCGCTTTTATTAACCCACGGAATACAAAGAAAAATTGTCATATTCTGGATCAAATGAACCTTTAAATTTTTAAAAAATATTTAAAAGTAATTTTGTGGGGACTTCCCTGGTGGCACAGTGGTTGAGAATCCGCCTGCCAATGCAGGGGACACAGGTTCGATCCCTGGTCTGGGAAGATCCCACATGCTGCAGAGCAGCCAAGCCCGTGCACCACAACTACTGAGCCTACGCACCACAACTACTGAGCCTGCATGCTGCAACTACTGAATCCCGTGCGCCTAGAGCCGTGCTCCGCAACAAGAGAAGCCATCACAATGAGAAGCCCGCGCACTGCAACGAAGACCGAACACAGCCAAACATAAATAAATAAATAAATTTATTTTTTTAAAGTAATTTTGTGAAAACTTTACATAAGACTAAAGGGAAAGTGAAAAAAACTTCACTAGATAATTTTATTAAGAATTTTAAAATAGCAAACCCAAATTTTATTCCTATTTTTCTGGCCTTGAAAGTGTTTATACTGAAAACAGGCAACATTCTTTGAATGTAACTAACTAGGACATGTTCACGTTGTGAATACTGGACTCCTACTATTACCTGTGGTGTGTGTGTCCTACAAAGTCCCCGCAAACACTGAATTAGCTAATACTCTGGTCACTGCAGCTTTCACCATGCGCAGGTGGAGAGGTCAGTGACCACCTTGTTTATGTGTGCTTCTGTGTACAGACACCTTATTTCACATGCACTGCTGATTCATGGCCAGCAGCCTGTCCAGCAAAGCTCATCTAACACCCACATTTTCTCCCTAAGGCTCACCCCACCCTCCCTGCACTTGGGCACAGCACCCGGAGGCCGTCGGAAACAGCAAAATCATCCTATCAGTCATTGCACTGCAAGAACTTCAATATTTTGTGACAGAATTTTGGAAAATGCCGTTTCACACCAAAATGCGAAAAATGAAGCACTGGAGACGGTGAGAAGGACACCTGTTTATGGTGTGAGGGTGAAAACAACAAGGCAGAGCGCGACCGCCCGGCTTGACCCCTGCTGGGAACAAGCAAGCCGGCGGATCATACGTTTTGTCACTCTTTGCACACACATGTCCATGAACAATCATGAAAAGTTCCACAAGTGCTGATTTTGGGGTTGCAAAGGATTTTTAGCAAGGAAGTGAATTTGTAAATATGGAATCCACAAATGATGAGGACCAACTGTACTTGCAAAATCTAACTCTAGGAGGTTCTAACTTACTACTAATGCTGGCTCTGCTCGCTCATGTACCATCAAAATGCTTTACACTTTTTAAAACCTTGACAGCTCATAATTTTGTTGAAGGACAGCCATATTCCTGGTTCCATAAATGCAGTATAACATATTCATTTAGGTTTATAAATACCAATAAAAATGATCAATTCAACCAATATTTTTCATTACATCATTTATTTCCTTCCAACCCCTTTTGTAAATACTGCTTTCACCATCAATACAATTACAAACCATATTAAGTAAATGCTGTTGCATGAACATCAAAAAAGATACAGAAATACTGTCAGTATCCTTTAGTAAACTCTAAACTCACAGAATATTGGGTGAAGGTTTTCCATGGAATAACTGACTGGATGGGAATGCCATATTTTCATTTTGTCCTTGGAAATATACTGTTTGCTCATAAATTATTGAGCTTGAGAAAACTGATCACCTAAAACTCAGTCCCAGATTTCACTTATACTATCAATTTTACCAACGTTATCACGGCTCAGAGTGCAACTGTCTCTTTACATTCACCTTCTGATTTGTTTTATCACTGAAACATCTTATTCTGACAATTTCCTTTTCTTTGTTACTATGGGCAGAAAAATGAAAAATTCTGAATTTCAAATAGCATCCAATGAAATGTTAAAAACAACAATTAACAACAAAACGTAAAAGATGGTTATTTCAAGACTTCTTGAAAGACTGTGCTATATTTTGGAAAATGCAATTAGAAAACTGAAAAATAATGAAGAGTAGCCATTTATTCTACTTGTGGTGATTCATTTCACTACTATACCATCCTTGTAGGTGACTCTATCATTCTTCCATTTTATTATTCTTTTAGTCTCTTTTTTATTATGGATGGGAGTTGATGAGTAATGGTGAAATACTTCCCAAGATCATGAAATAGCAAAATGCTTCAAGATATGGGAGAAATCAGATCACTAAAAATCCATAATGTGTTTTAGATTTATACTAAGATAACTACATGGTAATAAATGTTCTTTTTGTTCTAAAGTCTCTAAGAAAGAATAAAAGTTATGAAAAACTGACATTTAAAATAGTTAGAACTGTTCAAAAACGAAACTCAAAAACTAGACCCTGGTGGTATACTGAGGGTTAAACAATGTTGTAAGAAAGAGCCAAATAAAACCTGTTCCAGCATCATCTGTTGTCATGGGATTGAGGATTCCGTATCGTTCACTATATGAAGCTTTGCAAGAGATTTTTTCTTTTTCTTTTTACTTATTATTAGGAAACATTCCTCTGAGAAGCAGGTGTGCTTCCTCTTTTTGCATGATATCCTCCTAAGGAACTGTATCTTCAGCCCCTTCTAAAAAGTCAAACTTGTATATACAGATATTACAGCCTGAATATCAAGACTGTACATCCGCCTGCCAATGCAGGGGACACAGGTTAGAGCCCTGGTCCAGGAAGATCCCACATGCCATGGAGCAACTAACCCTGTGTGCCACAACTACTGAGCCTGCGTTTTAAAGCCCGCGAGCCACAACTACTGAGCATGTGTGCCACAACTACTGAAGCCCATGCACCTAGAACCCGTGCTCCACAAGAGAAGTCACCGCAATGAGAAGCCTGTGCACCGCAACACAGAGTAGTCCCCGCTTGCCACAACTAGAGAAAGCCCACACACAGCAATGAAGATCCAACCCAGCCAAAAATAAACAGATAAATAAATTTTTTTTAAATAAAAATTTTAAAAATTTTTTAAAAATGCACCAATGTTAATCTCTTAGTTTTAATAAATGTACCATGGCTATACAAGATGGTAATATTAGGGGAAACTAGGTATATGGGAATACCGTACTAGCTTTGCAACTTTTCTGTAAATCTAAAAGTATTCCAAATTAAAAAAAAAAAAAAAGATACCATAAAGTGAAAAGAGGAGCCACAAAACTAGGAGATCTGCAATACAAATAAACCAATAAGAAATGAGTGTGCAGACTATATAAAGAATTTCTTTAAATCAGTAAGGAAAAGACAATCTGATAGGAAAACAAGCAACAGAGTAAACAAGCATTTCATAATAATAATCATGGGAATTATGTATTGATATGTATGAAAAGATGCTCAGTGTTATTAGTACCTGGGAAAGCAAATTAAGATATTTCATACTGTGAGTCTGGCAGAAGCTGTGCTGGTGAAGATGTGGGTCAACGGGAATGCAGACACCACCGTGAGCATGGAGTCCAGTCACTTGAGCAAACAACGGGAAACTATCTTTTTATTATTATTATTATTCATTTATTTTATTTATTTGACTGCACCTGATCTTAGTTGCAGCACGTGGGACCTTTA